TCTCTATGTCACTGTGTCTCTGACTAGAGTGTTGTGTCACATACTTAATATAGACCTGGAAGAGTCTATTGTGTAGGTAGTTCCGGTCTCACAATAGACACTAAACAACTTAACAAGAATTGCTGTCATTAAATTAACCAACCAAACATAACATCACAAGAAAGCAATTGATTATAGATCAAAGCTACTGCCTTGAAGATTGTAACTCTTCTTTTTGAACCTGGTTAGAGAGAGAGAGAGAGAGAGAGAGAGAGATTTCAATGCATTAGTTGTCTTCAGTGACTTTCTCTTCTTAGCATATTCCTCTTGTTAAAATGTTTCCAGTCAATGAAAATATCTTTGAGATATATGGTTTTGGCCCAGGATTCTGGAATTTGATATTATATATATATATATATATGTGTGTGTGTGTTTAATTTTATTTTATTTGTGGGGGCTATTATGCACATTTCAGTGTTAATTATCTGTGATGTATGAAGGCATTTAGCCAAATAGTTTAGAACATAAATGTTTTGACCATGATAGGTTGGTTCAGATTTCCCTATATTTGATTTAAAAAGATGACTTCTTGGCCTGGGCAGAAGATCCCAGCATGTGGCATCATTAGGAAATTTTTGAATACAGGCTGACTCAAGCCTTCTGAGTGAAATTGGTTGGATAAAACTGTTCAGAAGCTGTCAAGGATGATGTTAGCACAAAGTTACAAGTCATTGTGACTGAGGATTTGCATGTACTGGCTTTGTTCAGACTGCTGATCATGCTAGATTATATGCTTTCTCTCCTAACTAAGGTCTGCTGAGCAGGGTTGCAGCAGAAACCATAGGTTGGTTCTGTGGGTGTTGATGAAACACAAATCTACCTGATTAGGCATCCATAACAGGAATTATAGCTAGTCACTCTGTTTCCAAGGTGCCAAATAAATGCTTTTTGTTAAATCTTGATAGTTTTCGACCTCCCACCACTAAGGCATATCAGTATCCCAACACACACTTAAGTTTTTTTTTTTTTTATGGACATTTTTTTATATTGTAATCTTGGTAAGATGTCATGAAAATTTTTTATTTGTTAAAGTATCTACACTATTTACATTGTTTGGACTGTTGTCCTCATCTTTGCTGCCATATTACACTTCAGCCTTCTTCAGGTGATTGGAATTTCAAATTGAACCATTTATTTCATCCACCAGGTTAGATTGTTCTAGTTCCATGTGCCATGCCTCTTCCAGTATCAGTTATCTCCTTTTTAAATCAACTATCCAAGTTTTTGTTCACCTATGCTGTAGCCAGGTATTGAACTGGATTCAACCTATGGTTTTTATCCACTGGGCCATGTGTCCTTGTTAAAGCATTTTACTTAAAGACATTGATGGACATTTATTTTTCTTTTTAGTTTTACTTATTAGTTTGAAAAACCTGTTTTTAATCATTTCACAAACCCCATATTTATTGATACCCCACCACACGCTGGCCATTCATTAAATTTTCTCATCTTTTTCCACCACCCAATTTTTTAACTGCCTCTCTTTCTTGTATTTTTTAACTCATTTTGAATAAGTAGATCATGTGATGGTAAAGGAAATGTATATATGGGAATTAGCATGGCATATATATATATATATATATATATATATATATATATATAGATAGATAGATAGATAGATATGGGTATGATGATAAATTATCTGGCAGCAAGTCTTCTGATTGAGAGATTAGATGTAATAAGGTGTGTAGAACCACCTTTTGTTTGCTGTTGTTCCCAGGTCCAAACTGATCCAGAGCTATAGCACCTGCTAGGGTTCCAGCTATGGGCAAATAGTGAATTTGTGTAAATCCATGGCTAAAGTTGGCGTGAGTGGCTGAAAGCATCTTTTGACAAATCATTGCTTTTTGTGAGAGGGACACTCGGAAAAACCTATGATCAAAGTGGCTACCAGTTATCTTGCGATAGCTTCTCACTGGAAGCTAGTCACTAAGATTCAGAGAGTGGTGTAGGTGTTGTACAAGCCTACATCACTATAATCCACTGATGTACAGTTGTCTTATTAACTCATCTTATGTGTTATTGCATCTTTTCTTAAATTCCTTTGGTGATGGAGAAAAGGCAACGTAGGCAGACTTGATGTGTTGGAAGCCTGTAGTCATGAATCTGCACAAAGGTGGCAGGAGTTTTATCTAACATCGCTATCTTGCCTAATTGATGGCAAAGGTAAATCAGCTGTTGGTTTGAAGAGCCACCTTCAAAATCATTCAAGCGGAAACAATGATTTAGATTGAATGTAGGTGTTGATGGACAAGACGGCAGTCATCTGTGAAAATAGAGCAATCAACATGTATGTATGTATACCTGCATGCATAGCAAACTATTTTTTAAGACTAATTCCTGGCATTTTATGTAGAAACAGTAGATCAACAGGAATGATGGAGAATAGGTTTCAAAATCTGCTGTACTCAGCAGTTTCTACAAACTTAATTTATCCAGATTTATATTTGGCTTCTCTTTGGTGCAAAATGACAACCGAATTCTATAAGTACATTAACATGGCTGTAACATGTACAACACCAAATCCAGACAGACACCATCCTGGGTATGACGATAAACTACATCCGCATCCTGGGTAAGATGATAAACTACTTCCGATAGCAAGACCTCTGATCAGGAGGTTTTGAGGAGTGTGGAACCATCTCTTAATTGCTGGTGTTCCCAGGTCCACCCTGACCCGGGGTGGTAGCACCTGTTAGGGTTCCAGCTATGGGAAAATAGTTAACATCCAAACTTGAGTCAAAATACTGTGAAAGTGTAAAAATAGATTTTAATACCAGAAATACTTTGTAAAAAATTATTAGCAGCAATAATTTTCTGAAGGAAAAATTTTTATCAGCAAAACAAGAAAAAAAATTACCAGCAATATAAACAGCTATATATTTCTAAAAAAAATATTACCAGCTATACATTTTTTCAAGAAAAAAATATTCCCAGAAATACATTTTTGAACAAAAAAAAAATTACCAGCAATAAAAATTGTCGGCATTGAATAACCCATTGTGGTTGATATGCCGTAAAACAAACCAAACTGTAAACTATAAACCAGACAGACAAAAATATTGAATGGACAATGTCAAAAGAATGATGTGTCAAATGAACTTAATGTCAAATGGATTAAATATTGACAGAAGAGACAGTCTTCTGTACTCTGCCACCCCAAAACAATAGAGAAAGTTTTCAAGTATTTATTCTTGCTATCATTTTCTCTAAGATACATAGCTGGTTATATCTGACAGGTGGTCATGATGATGAGAGAAAAAGAATAGTTGGGTCCAAAGTTATCATTCATTCATTAATGTTTGTCAGTATTTTTTGATATTTCTGCCATATATTTAGAGATGCTTAATAAAATACAATGAAGACTCTGCAATATTATTAGTAATGACCTACACATCAGTCAATTTCTTATCATCATAACATAGCTTCCCTGGGCCTTTTCTATAAATACTTTCAAGGTAATTGTTCTTATGATCTCTATGGTGCCTAGACTTTATGAATTTAAGTAAGGATCTGCAACGTTATTGGTCCTGACCTAGCATCTTGGCTTTAGTTACTTTCCCATCACCATAATATAGCTTCCCTATACCTTTTCTATTAATATTTTTATGGTAATTGTCCTGATGAACTTTTCTCTTTATACATATGGGAACTAGTTAGGACGTTATGGAGACTTTGAAGCATTATGGTGGTAGTCATAAGAATTGTAAGAATGTGTTGTATTGGTGTAAGGAATACTGTGGTATGATTGGGTCAGTAATGGAAGCTAGCTAAGTTCAAGGTAAAACAGATTGAAAACCAGCCTTCTGCTATCCCTCCTTCTGGCCTTGTGTCCTATTTTTGTATTTTCAAAATAAATATTGCTTTTCTCTATGTTAAGTAGACTTTATGAATTTAAGTGCAGAACTAGATTGGCAGATAGGTCCCATCATTTTACAGTTGAAACAGCTGGATGTAACTGTAAGTTCTATGCTAATAGTTTCTTCTCTTGCACTTTTCACTTGTGGAACTCTTTTTGGGCTTCTTGCTTTCCAGTTAATTTTGATCTTCAAAAATTTTAATATTCTTTTTCTCATATTCTCTCACTCTCAGTAAGCCCTTGCATCTTAGTGGCTTCATTGTCTTGCTTGGGGTGAAATGATTAAAAAAAAAAAAAAATCAGGTTCCCAGGGAGTTAAGTTCAATCCCATGATCTGGTAGTGCTGAAAAGTATCATACTCTGGTATTAACTCATATGAAGTATTCCATAAGCATAGAAAGCAGAATGAGACCAATGGTTTTGGTTTGAAACTCCAAGAAAGTTATAGCAGCAATACCTAAAATGGTATGTCTGTTGCTTTCTCTTCCAATAGGGGATTTTACAAGAGTAACATGCCGAAAGTATATTCAATGCAAAATGATTTCAATATTGCCATCATCTTTTCCAGTCTCATGAAACTTGTGTGTATATAAGAATGAAATGTCTGTGTATGTGCATGTTTATTGTATGCTTTGCTATTTGAAGCAGCCTGTTGATCTTGGCTTAGTTCTTAGTATAACAAACTTTTCTGTTTTAGACACATGGCCTAAAGTGTTGGTGAAAATATATATCAGGTTCCCTGACAACTTTGAGTTCAATCCCTCAGCCTGGCAGTACTGAAACATCACCTACTCTGGTTCAGTGGGGGAAACATACATGAATAAGACTGGTGATTGATTTAATTTTTACAGTTTATCAACCTTTTTAAGGTTATTTAAAGCTGAAACATATCTTTGAACTGTAAGAATTTTGGGGAGATGATAATGATTTTCTGAGACAAGTCTACCTATTTAACACATAGGTGGAAAGATGAAGTGGATTCATACCATTCCTTAGAGTATTTGCACGTATGTGAATATAATTTACCTTACTGGAATTTGAACTTGCATATCCAATTTCTCATTCTAAGTCTTTATTTATTACACCACCTGTACATCCAAGTCTACAGCACCTGGCATTCCTGAGGGGTCACCCATCTAGGTACTGACTACGTTCAACATTGCTTAACTTTGGTGATTGTATGAGCTGGTGTTTCAATGTGATATGGCCATAAACATAAGACTGGTGAGTATTTAATTGATATGAGATATCCTGTAAGAATGGAAAGCAGAATTTGGACAATCTAGCACTGGTAATTGAATAAATTAATCCACCTGGGCAGCTCCTTCTCAAGAACCTGTACTTTGTGGACAGACTTCGGAAGGTTGCTTTCTCAATCACTTCAAGTCTAAAGTTAGCCATTATCTTTCCTACATAATCTCATAAATTGCACTTCTTACTGCTTCCTCTTGTGCCCATACAATTATCTCATTCAGTAACTCTCGTACTAGGTGAACATTTAGTAAGGAAAAAAGAAAAAAATATTACCAAGTAGTGTAAAACAACCAAATTGAGCATGTTGGTTCAAATAGCAAAACATAATTAATCTTTCATTAGTAAAATCAAAGTTTATATTTTAGGTTTTATTCACTAAAGAACATGTAGTAAGTTAGACTCCTTGGCACAGACCATTGGCTGTAGAAATGATATGATATTAATAGCAGCAGCCAACAGGCATCCATAGCAATTCCTACTGTCAAAGAATCTTTCTCTTTCTGCAGCTGGCATTGTAAGTAATAATTTTTTGTTTCAAATGTAAAACCAAGGACTCTCTGGTCAATGGAAAGCATACCTTTCCACAATCAAACCTTTGTTATTTTATTTCTATCGAACAAATATTTATAAAATTTTCAGCCTGTAATACATTTTGCTTTCATTCTGTATTATTTTGTTGAAAATATATCATCACAAGATAAAAATAATTCACCATTAATCCTTGTCTACCTGGAAAGCATCATCAGTAAAGATGGTGGGGACAGATGAAGATCTCACGTGTTGAATCAACAATGCCCAGAACACTTTCAACAATCTACAGCCAATCTGGAGATCAACAGTCCTCTCACTCTGCAACAAAATCCGGATCTTCAACATCAAGTCGATCCAACTTTATGGCTCAGAAACCTGGCGGGTAACCAAAACCAATGCCCAGACATTTACCAACTGATGTCTCATGAACATCCTCAATATCATGTGGCCAGAAGTTGTCTCCAATGACCAACTGTGAGACAGGACCAGACAAGCCCCAATCAAGATAGACATCAAGAAATGGAGATGGGGATGGATCGGCCACACACTCCACAAGACTGCTTCTAGTGTCACCAAGCAGGCAGGCCCTTGACTGGAATTCACAAGGGGAGTGAAAAGTGGGCTGATCCAAACAGACTTGGTGCAGAAGGGTTGATGAAGTGAAGATGAACGGATGAGCTGAAGAGTATCGCCCAGAACTGTGTCGATTGGAGAGGTGTAGTTGCGGCCCTATGTACCCCAAGGAATCAAGAGGCATAATAGAATAATAGAATCCTTGTAGTCTTTTAGTAGGTGTTGAGTATTAACTCCTTGATCAGTAAGCTTTTCCAGTAAGAGTTGTGGGTGGTGGCTCGTGGGATAATCTATAAAGGAACCTATTAAGATAGTGATCCAAGTGGATTACCCAAGTGTGCTTGGCTAATCCTTTCAGACAATTATTTGCACCTCATTGCTTTTTAGATTTGAAGGATTATTTGATGAATGCTCAAGCCCCAGGAGGCCATCCCCCTAGGCAGGAGCTATTTTTCTGGAGGAGGCTGGAGGTAATCTTAAGCACCTGAGGTATCCCTAAAGTGGAAAATGCAGAGGGTGTTTGAATAATTTCTGCCCAAAGTCTCATGTAAGCATAAGTTTAGACTTGGCCTTGTGCCAGATTCTGTATATGTGGGCATATAATTAAATACCATGCTTTTATGATATTTAAATAGTTCTCAGGTGAGTTATTTACAGGGAATAACCTATGACAATTACAGAGAGTTCACAAAACTTACCACAATACTGACAATGAGGAATCTGAACTATTCAATAGGGTCTGTGGTCTTAATACTTCCAAAAACGCAACAATGGAATATAACAGTAAGAATCAAAGACCATGATTGACACCAGAAAAATCTGGAGAATTTTTCCTTGTAGTTCTCAGACAAGGACTTTCTCTATATCAAAAACATCCTTTTCTATGAAAAATCTTTCTCTCTAGAATCTATTACATAGAATTCTAGCATTCATCCATGCTTCAAATATTGCTACCATATATGGTTTGGTTTTCCTGCTATATATTTAAAGATATTTGATAAAATCCAAAGAAAAATCTGCATTGTGACTGGTCCTGACCTGGCATCCAAACTTCAGTCACTTTCCCACCACCATAATTTAGCTTCCCTGTGCCTTTTCTATAAGTACTTCCATGGTAATTTTTCTGATGAACTTTCCTCTATGGTTCCTAGATTTTAAGAATTTAAGTGAAGCACTAGATTAGCAGCTATGTCTCATTATTTTACAGTTGGAATAGATAGATGTAAATGTAAGTTTTATGCTAACAGTTTATTTTCTCACACTTCTTATATGTGGAACTCTTCTGGCTTCTTGCTTCCCAATCTACTTTGATATTCAAAAATTTGAATGCAATGTCTATCATTATCTACTGTCTTCTTGATTCCTCCTCTTTTCATTGTTCTCACTCTTTAATGTTTTTTTTTTCTTATTCTTTCACACTCTTTATCCCCCCTTGCATGTGAGTGGCTTTATTGTCTTGAGGTGAAATGTTTTTAAAATGGGGTGTTTACTAAAAAAAGATACATCCACAAAATTTAACTTACACACACCATCTTCTATGGGTCATTTCATGTCCTTTGTAACTCTTAATGAATTTTGTTTTTGTTGTAACCTAGGGAAGGTTAATGAATAGAATAATCAAATAAAGGTTGGTAATGAATGATAATACTTAGGACAAGAACAACACATGTAAGATTCGCCAGTGGTGCATAGAAGTAAGTCAACTGCTAGAAGTGAGTCAAGTGAATTCCACAATGAATCTCCAACTGGCCCATGTGGTCAGATGTGGCACAAGGCCGAATTTAATGTTGGGTATCCGAGCCCATAGGCTTGGCCAAAAATTCCTCATAGGCCCCATATAAAAACAGGGCCAGGTACCTGTTTCCTGAGACAAGACTCTGCCCTTTGACATAACATCGTCTGGGGATCCTCTCTGCCCAGAGGCAGAGACTTTGACCAGCACAACTGGAGATGAATCTCCAACTGCAGACCAACATACAGTATTTACTACTGTATTTATGTGAATGGGACATACCTGTTATTATCTGTAGGTATGCTACAACAGTTTAATTGCTATCTCTCCTAAACCCTGTTCTGCCATCCATTTACTCAAGCTCACTAGGTATGTTAGGCATTGTTTTCCTCTATTTCTCTTACCTTTAATCTATCCTGTGAGTATCAAATTTTCCAAGCCCTCTTTCCTGATTATGCACCCTAGAAATTTCAACTATCTCTTTTTAATGTTAAGTATTAGTGTCCTCTTTGCTTCCATTTTCTTTAAAATTGTTGTTGTTGCTCACATATCCATTCCATGGTATTCCTATTTCTGTTACCTCAAGTCTCTTTTTCATCTGTGCTCAGCATTTACTGCCATAGAGGAAGACTGATATTACATAAAAGTTCAGAACATTTACATAAAAGAAATCTTTGTAATAAAAATCTAAATAAAGTGGCAAAGTATATAAAGAATCTTCTCAGTTTAATATCACACTTAAGAACTGCTAATATTACTTCAGCATGAAAGAATGTGAAACAGAATTTACTACATGTTGTAATACACAAGATTTTCATATCAAAAGATTCTATCCGGTTTTTCATCTTTCATATAAATCCTTGTTGCAATAATTTCTTACCTTCTTTGTTCTATACAAGTATTTACATAGTTAATGGCCGGTAGAAGTTAACCTGAACTTAGTGGGCAAACCAAATTTATCTTCTTTTCTAATAATAAATGAAAGAGCTGCTGATTTATTTTTCTTACTATATTTCTTGTCTTTATTTTCAGCAATGTATCACTTTAAGAGTAAAATTTTATGACGTGTGTTCAAGATTTCCTAGAAACAAAACGAAGCCAAAACCAAAAGCTTTCAAATATAATATAAAGAGATATTGGAAACTTTTGCAGCACATAACTAATAATCCATGAAGAGTTAAAAGAAAAACAACTGTAACATTCGAAATTAAACTTCTAAATACTTCTAAAATTGTACCTTCATTCTTCATGTGGTGTATAACAAAAAAACCTTAATGATAAATCCTCCCACCCCTGGAAAATAATGCACAAAATTTTTTAAGTCATAATTTGCATTTTCTTATTGTTTGCTTTTTTTTTCTGTTTTATGCCCCATCAAGTGCTATGTGGGTCATTCCATGCTAAAAAAAGGTTATTTCTGTTGGATTGATTTTTGATGGATTACCAACATGAAAAGCTCCAGTTATTTTGAAAGATCTGATATTTTGGGGGATGGTTAAATGCTTGTGGATAAATTAAAAAAAATTTTTCCTATATAGGCTGAGTCGTTTTCTACAGCTTATAAACCCTTTGCAGGTTACTTAAATCAGAAAATGCTTTCTTAGGTTGTAAGAATTTTTTTTGAGATAACAATTTAGTGATACGAGTTCTACTAATTAACCCATAGCTGGAGGGAGAAGGGGTGGATTCATACCTTTCCCAAGGTTATTTGCATGTAAGAAAATATAATGAACCCAACTGGAATTGAAACTTGGCTGTCTGATTAACAATTCTGAGCCATTATCCATTACAACACCTGCACATCTAAGATTACAGCACCTGGTATTCCCAATTTCCACATTAACTCAATTTAAGAGAAAGGGAAGAAGCAGACTCAACCCTGCACCTGTAGCATTGTCTTCTTGTGTTCTCAATTGGAATCAGCTGCTTATGAAGAAACAAGCACATCCAACTCATTAAATGATATTCTTTTTTCAAATATTATTTACTTTACCTTTGTGTCGGAATTTCCTTTAAGTTTGTTTTTTCTAAAAGTAATAATTTTATATCCATACAAATAGATAATACAAATACATACATGAAATTCCAATAGGTACAGATCATAAGACATATGCATAAATTGC